ATATTCTAGTTAAATACATTGACGTTTAGTGTGTTTATTGTTAAATTATATTACAGATTAAAGCTGTATTGACTTTTAAATGAAATAAAATTTTCTACAGTGTCAGAAAACGACGTTACTTGTAGGTATTCTTAAGCACTTGCGCTGGCAAATGATTGCGGACCATAACGAGTGACCGAACCGTATACAATAATCCGTCGCTTTCTTTTTCTTTTTGAACTCGCAGGTATGATGTCGCTGAGTAGAAATTATTGAGAAGTAATAAACTTATCATTTGTTTTTTCTGGGTTACAGGTAAATATACTTAAAACTGGGAAAATGTTGCAATTGGGGACAAAAAGTTCTCGACGTGCTTGGCACGTTATTCCAGCGTAAGAGGTTAACTGTACATCGATTAATCGTCCCGCTCCTAAGTCTTTGGACATTTATTACATTTGTATTGAATTCTAAAAAGAAAAAAAAAGTGAAGCGATCAGTTGAAAAATGTGAACGAATTTTTTTTCTTGACGAAGTAGACAGAGTGGTCCATTTAAGCGAGGTCACCTAAATATCTTTTCGAATTGTGACGACACAAAAAATATTTTTTTTGCCTATCATGAATGGTATCGAAAGACGTACAATTACAGTCACACAAGTATAAGTAATCCGTAAAATCTAGTTCAAGTATCGAATAGTCTTGGCTTTCTCGCGTCAAAATATTATGAAGATAGATAAAAATAGAGCATAGAACTGTATCTCGTATTCTTTGAAAATACATAATGCTGAAGCAAAAGTAACACGTGTTCTAATCTCTCTTACTCGATCGCCTCTAGTTTAAAAACAAAAAGAAATGAAAAAAAAAATGGAAAAAGAAAAACGGTGTCGTTGCTAGAAGAGTTATTGTTCGAACGTTCGTTCGGAGAGGAAGAGTTATCGCGCAAAATCTATATTCGGTCGTGGATCGTTTAAAATGAAATTTCGCAATTCTCCGTGAAGGATGGGAAAATGAAGGCGCGCCTGTTGAACCGGTATCGGTTTCGCATGCCAGTATGAGTTGCATAAAACTCATTTATCTAACTTATTAGTTTTCCTATAGTTGGTACATATGCGAGGATAAACTGTTGCATAATGCATACCTAATTTATGCGAAACGTCGCATCTCACACAACAGGTCTGGCGACGTGCTTAGCTAATATACGATCGATTATCGATCACGTCACCGGCAGTTTTCTCTTTTCGTTTTCCGAAGATTCTTCCAGATCGATCGAGATTTTCAAAAACTTTTGTAAATCTGAAGCATGTCGAGGGCCGCACATGGTTCACGTATTTTTTTTATCAGTGCAATTGAACCTATATTATTAGGGGTATCCATAAGTCGTTTTTCGACACTGTAGAAAATTTTATTTTATTTAAAAGTTAAAACAGCTTTAATCTGTAATATAATTTAACAATAAACGCACTAAATGTCAATATATTTAACTAGAATATAGATTGTAACATATGTCATGACCATAATCTATGAATATAAATTATGATAAAGTTATTGTCACTAGATGGCAACGTTTATTATATTTGAAAAAAGCGACATTACTTGTGTTACTACTCTAATATTTATAAGGATATTAAAACAACCTTCACAGTGAAACAATACAGTAATTAAAAAAATATATTTACATTAATTAAAAGAGTATGAAAGTGTTTTAATGAACACTGACTGAGCTTGTTTTTAGATTACCAGTTCATCAGTAATTTAATACAAAGGAAGTATTTTCAAGATGCTCGTCTAAAATTTTTGTTCTTATTTTATTTTTCGTGTGCTTCGTGTATGGAGAAAAGAATCTGTTCACAAATATAAGCACTCCGCACAAAGGGCATCATAAACAGCGCTAAATATATATATATTTTTTTTTTTTTAAATAAATGGTAGATTTATAAAAGTCTAATAAAAAGACACTTGGATAAATTTTTCCTCGAGTTGTACATCTGATTGCAACTCGATACATTTCACTTGCACGTTCGCTGGCAACGTCATTGACATCAATTGATCAACAAATATGCCAACCGTCTAAAGTAAAAAAAATGTTTCGTTGACTGTTGAAAATTATTCGTAATCAGTCGAAAAGAGGTATGATTATTCGAATTATTCAGATAATAAATTTTTCATTCAGTTATTCCATTATTTTGATTATACAACGCGTGATGAATAGGATCTAAGGGTTGGACACGCCTGATCTAAACCCTTTGATATTGGTTAATTGGTAAATAAGTGATCGATACGACGATCGATAGCGGTCCATGTGGTTTCAACGGTGGCAAAAGGGAGAAGAATAGAGAAGACGAACGATCCAGTTTCCCGATTGGCGAACCGGACGGGGCGCGATCCACTGCCCAGAGTGGCGTATCGGCTGTCCAGATAATCGGCGAGCGTTGGTGAACGGAATTTAATTACGGCATACGGTATGGCGCGTCTCGTTCCGTATCTCGACCCGGCGAATTAAACGGGGCGCAAAACTAGGCGACAGATAGATCGTGCCATCGGAACTTGGAACTGTAGTAAACGTCTGAATAAACAGCAGCCAGCGTATGTACGTATGTACAAACACAATCGTGTCGTGTCGCGCCTACGCAACAACCGCCTCGTGAACCGTATAGACAATTTCCGCTGAAATCTCTCTCTCTCTCTCTCTCTCTGTCCCTCTCTGACGAAAAATAATATATATAACTGTAGGAAAGAGTAACAAACAAAATTAAACCCGACGTGGTTTATAATGAATTTAAGTTTATTAATATTTAAGTAGTTGAGGAAGACTGTGAATAAATCCAAATACGGAGATAGAGAGATTAAGTTTCCTCTGGACCAATGATTCCCATGCTCCACCTAAGCATCTCTAAAGTCCTGATTATTCAAAAAGTGAATTTTTGAACAACAACAATTATGTGTCACAGGAATGAGGCGTCAGAATTTTAGAGAAAGCCCAAAAAGCCAAGTCTAAACAAGTCTGAGCGAACTTCCAAAGTACGTGACATCCATGAAAGGGAAAAATTAGAAAGTTAAATTTTCATTTAAAGAAGTGCAAAAAAATTGCATTTCTCATTCTCATCAAATCGTCGTTGCCAAACTTGGACGAAACAAACTAAAACAAACAGTCTCGAACCTTGCTTCCGCTGTAAGGCACGCAGCAGAGCGACAATTGTCTCGTTCTTAGGAAGAAATTCAGAAAAATGAAACTTCCTCGTTCGCCACGTAATGACATTTCCGTTCAACGAACAGCGAAATAATATATAATATAATGAATGTAGTAATAACGAATTGATTAATTACAGCGATTCGATTAATTGTTTTTGCATACTGTTCCAGAGGTTATCATGGCGACGGATATCCATTCGATGGAAAAGGCCAGATTCTGGCACACGCGTTTTTTCCTGGCAGAGACCGTGGCGGAGACGTTCATTTCGACGAGGAGGAAGTATGGTTGTTGCAGGACGACAACACCAACGAAGAAGGTAAGAAAACATGAGACGTTCGAGGGGCCAATTTTTGAAATTGTTGAATTGCGTGAGATTATTGAGAACAGATTATTGTTTGTTTAGAACTGTCATTGTAGGAATTTTATAAGTAATTTTAACAATTTTAACTTTATTAACTGTCTAATAATCTTTATCAATTAATTGGTTTGATTTTAACAATTTTAATTTTATTAACGTAATACAATCGATGACTGATTTTAGATTTTGTTTAAAAGACACGGATATTGTCAGTCAAAATTAATATTGATTTATGTTTTGGACAGAAACATA